TTCCATGATTGTTGGTCTGCTGATCGTCGTGAAAAAATGGTTGCGTTGCCTTTTCTTGCGGAAATTCTCTACACTAAGATGGACTATGGACTTAGGGGAATGCCTACTTCTTACCCACCATGAATGTCAAAAACCATGAGTTTTCCACACTATTCCACATCTAATTTTTCTATGTTGACGCTAAGTTCTTTCCGCTTTACGCTTCACCGGTTGTGAGTTGTAACCCATGGCTCCATGGCCCACATGGCTCGCTATCCGCATGCCCAGCGGATAGACCCCAGGCTATAAGGGCACCATCACAGCCACTGCGGTTGCTGATCTGCAGGGAGGTGATGGGTTATTGCCTCAATACTGGAGGTGTTTTATGGATTTGTATGGGAGAATATCTGGTTGGTGGTTTCATACATGGTTTTTATGACTTTCCATATATTGGGAATGTCATCATCCCAACTGACTTTCAGATTTTTCAGAAGGGTAGGTCAACCACCAACCAGTAGCATGTGGTATTTAACAAGTAATTATGAAATTGTAACCACCAATTCTGTGCCATGGTCCGAACTTGAATAAATTGGCCATTTTGCTGGGTGGTCATGAACTCACTTTCAAAGGGTAGTGTATGCCAAATATAAAGATTCCTGTTATGTGATAAATGACCATACCATATAAAACATGTTTCGACCATGGCACATGTTGGGTTTGAATCAGTTTGTTCGTTTTACCACTGACTAAGAAGGTTGTGTTTACCATTCAAAATAGGGATGTTGGTCCAATGTACACAAGGATATTGTTTTGTGTGTGTGGGGTTTTTGGCTGATTTGTTGGGTTGACACGTTGATGATATGTTCATTGTTTGAACCATCGATAGTTTGGCTTTAACACGCTTTATTGCTGCTGGGGTCGATACTAATATACATATTCTGGATTATTCTGGGTGAACATTCCACACCATTCCACCATGTGTGATATTCAATAATTCCCACTTGTCGATGGTTAAATGCGCGTTCTTGCTTGTCAACTCTAACTTGGTATTTCCCAAAATTGAGGGGGTGCCCACGTAATTACCCTAAGGCCATGGGTTTCAAACCTGTCCAGTCAAGTTTGGATGGTACCCCCCCCCATTTTTTGACGCACCCAATCCCCTGTTAATGCTAAACCAAAATAACAAGTCAAAAAGCTGACAACAAAAAGTCAACCAAAACTCTTTACCAAAACATCGTTGATTTCTTCCCCAGATGCGAGAAAATGGAAAATCTACGGGACCCCCCATCAATTTGAGGTAAAAATAATGTGCGTATAGTTTCCTGTAGATTGTCCATGGAAAATCACTCCATTGATTGCTGGTTATATTCCCATATTGTCGCAGATATGTTCATGGAATATCCCATGATATGCTCCCATGATATGCTTTTCCCCGCGATATGCCACTGGTATGGCCATGATATGCCCATGACATACCCGTTGATACCCTTCAACCAATTCATTTATATTCTGATTGGTGGTTTGGAACATGACTTTTATGTTTCCATTCAGTTGGGAAGAATCATCCCAACTGACTTTCATATTTTTGAGATGGGTTGAAGCCACCAACCAGTATTTGTTTTTGAATTATTCCCATCATGATCATTATAGACATCTCCACACTATGTTGATTCGAACCCCTCATCTCACTCACCTCGCTATTATCATCAACATATATCATGAATATCCCATTCAATCAGATAAAATCACCGTGTTTCCACATAAACTGATTGGTACCCTGGCGTAAACCAACATAGATGTGGAAACCCCAGCTGGTTTCTGAAGACAAGGATCTATATATGGTGGATTTTCAAAAGATCTACCCTCTGGTTATGACCAACAGTTCGCCATGGTATGGAAAATTGCCCATGTATAGATGGTTTACCTATTAGAAATGGTCCATTTTCCATGGCTATGTCAAAAACCCAGATGGCAAATTAGTTTACTGGAGAGTAAAATATGGTGATTTCCCGCTCTCTGACAAACGTTGCACAGGCTGATCCCTTCTTCATGGGCAGCTGCACTCCTGTGGCGTGCCCTGAACACAGCACCGGCACCAACGTGCCGGGAGGATGCGAGTGCTTGGCAGGTGCAGATTCGGCTCCGGTCAGGGAAATACGTGGCTTTGGTTCCTGGTTTCGTGCTTGATGTGAATAGTCCAACTGAACCACGATCATTCCACAATTCACACGGCCGGTGATGCCCCCCAGTTCTGTTTCTTGGTTTCGTTTCACCAATGTCAGCTAGTTATGCTAGTTCGTTCGGTACATTTTCCATAAACCCAACAGTTTTCACCAAGTTATGCCAGTTTTTCCATAAACCCAACCTGGTTGGTGGTTTGGAACATGGCTTTTATTTTTCCATACATATATACATTGGGAAGAATAATCCCGACTGACTATATAATTTATATTTTTCAGAGGGGCAGGTCAACCACCAACCAGTGATGTTTGTCAACTTGGCCATCTGTGTTTTTCACCAGCCAGGCTATTCTGGTACCATCACGGGCGATGATGAGAATCCGTACTACGAGGGCAGCTGCGCTGCCGTGCAATGCCCTACGGGCTCGGCAGGTGCGATCAGCGTCGGGTGATGGGTTGATTATATTTTGATATACCAGTACAATAGCAATGCATAAATATCCAGACCCATCACCCCAGTGAATTAATTACTGGTATTTACTTTATTCCCTTTATAACAGCAATATGATTATATGGGTAATTCCAATATTTATATGTATATATTTATACTTATATTTATATATAATTATATATTTTATTATTATTATTATATATATATTGAATTGCCCAGTGAAATATATCATCATGGGTTGATTGATATGATATGATGATACCCAGCGTATGGGTTTATATTCCAGTAGAACTTAACTATACTAAATATAGGTTGTGTATCAATAAACCATATGGTGTTGGGTATAAAAATACATTATTTTTGAAGTGTTGGGATATACATATTACAGTAGGTGTGCGTTGGGTTAGATGTATGGTTGGATGGGTTGATACATACCCAGTAAATAGGTTGTAGGGTTGTAGATCAAAATGCTACTTTTCTTGGTTGTAGCGTACATACGTAGCAATTTCTATGTGGATATATTTTGAGGGTATGTAGGCTGCCAAGACATTTATCAATTTTGGAATTCGTCAGAAGGACTTCGTAGCATTTTGGAATCCGGAGGCTGAACGCACCAAGAAAATTTGGATGGGTTCAAGGGACATGGACAGGACAAGCCTGTATTTAAATAATAGTTGATGGTAGAAAAAAAAACTGTGGATACCAGTTAAGATGATCAGACTGTGTCTTAAACCAATCCATTGAAACAAATGCCCTCCAACATTTGATTGTTTAAGAACCGCACGATAAACAGTTGATGGTAGTTTAATCAGATCTTTGTTGCTTGGGCTGGTCACAGGCTGGTTGTAAGTGGGGGTTTCATTGAACACATGATCACTTTGTTTGATGATACTTGACCAATGCTGCGATTAAGCAAATGAGGCTCACTAAAGTCACATCATAGCCAACCAATGGCATCACCTGAGGAGTGCCCAAAATACATCAAAATACAACTAGAGCAGGGTATCAGAAAGTTTGTATTATTGGTTGGTGGCTTGGAACATTTTTATTTTTTCCAATCAGTTGGGAATAATCATCCCAACTGACTTTCATATTTTTCAGAGGGGTTGAAACCACCAACCAGTACATGATATAATCCTATATTACCTGTAGTGGATATTCTCACTGTATCCCAATGGGCCAATGGATAATAGTACTGAGTATATCTCATTCGTTCTCGTGTTCATCTTCCCAGTCCATCTGCTAGCCGTCGAACCATGGCCGTTAGATTTGGATTTGTTTGAACATAGGTAGTACAGTGGTACAGCACCCCAAAATTCCATGGTTTATCATCAGTATCCTCATCAAATACCCATTTGACCGTATCCCCTATTTTTGGACACCCATATTCAGATATATTCCGTATTCATATGTATTCATTGCTCACTTCGTATTTGTTTTTATGATGAGCTGGTCCTCAATGTGCAGCATGTTTGATTAACTGACATTAGTTAAACACCAATGAAAATAATGTTTAACTAATGTGAGTTAATCAACATTAGTAACTAAAAAACTATTCATGTAACATAAACAAGTGAAAAAGTTCGTTTTTTTGTCACCAGTTTGATGTTCAAATCTCCATCACGATCGCCAAGATTGTCAGCTCGCCCATGAAAAAAATCCTTGTGATATTCCCATAATTCAATGGATTGGTTGATGGGAAATTTACAGGAAACCATGGTTTTTACCATGAAATAATATGAAATTTGGGGCTTTCCTGTAGATTTTCCCTTAAACCAATCCAATGAAAAATTGATCAGGAACCTACAATTTCTAGATATTTCTAGATCATGATAATCAATCCCCTTCAATCGATGCTCAAATCCCAATGTTTCAGCATGGTTGATGGTTTTTCATACCAGTGTTTGATGCTTTTTTGTCCCTCATAAATCATCATCAATTGATGCTTCCCTTCTGGTAAACTAATATAGCTATGGAAAGTCACCATTTTAACAGGGAAATCATCTACCAGTAAATGGTCCATTTTCCATAGTTAACTGTTTGTTTCCTGGAGGGTAAATCCATGTAAATCCTATATTGTTCATGCTGAAATGCCCCCATGAAACCAGAAAAACCCGCGGAAAGTTCCGAGTTCAAGGCGCGGATCTGCCGAGCGGCTGCAGCTGCAAAGCCGGTTTCACTGGCTCGGTGGTCGCCACGATGCCCGGCAAACATGGCTGGGAAGTTCATGTTTATGTCCTTTTCCCATTGGTCGGTTGGTTACAAGGTGGTGCCCCATAGTTAGCTAAGTTGGTTTATAAGTCCCATAACTATGGTTTATGGCAGATATAACTATAGTTCATGGGGTTTATAAACCAACTTATAACTGGGGGGCACATAATAGAGGGGTTTGAAGAAACCCCTTTAACAACAGGTATAGTACTATAAATGATGATAGATGGAATACCAAACCATGGTTTTTACCTTTCAATATAGGGGGTTTATCTGGTTGGTGGTTTGGAACATGACTTTTATGACTTTCCATTCAGTTGGGAATGTCATCATCCCAACTGATGAACTTATATTTTTCAGAGGGGTAGGTATACCACCAACCAGATAAACATGGAGTTTTAAAATGTTATAAACATGGAGTTTATTCATGATATTCTATATAAACATGAATATGTAGTATGCTTGGGAACCATATTCAATGGCCATGCAACAGGAAGCGATTGATTGGAGGTACCAGCATAGATAAGGCCTGTTTTTCAGGCTTATATAAGGGAATATCTTCAAAATATGGCCTTACATGGTACAGTACCTCCATTTTAGGATCTTGAAATTCCCATTGATATAACAAATGGTTCATTTTTCAGCTAGCCATGTTATCAGAGGGTACGCTCCAGAAAACTAACATAACTACGGAAATCACCATTTCGTTATGGGTAATTCAACTATAAATGGCCATGTTCAATCGCTATATTACTTTACCAGAGGGTAGTCATGAACAAATAGGATTTAACACTGGGAGAATGATGTGACCATGAAACACTGGGATTGAACCATCAAAACCATAGGGATTGATGATCAAGCATTGATTTAACCATGAATATGAATCGTGTTTCCATTATATATATATATTAATATAAATAGATTTACAGCCATCAAACATAGGTATGATTTTTTCAACTTGAAACATAGAGATTATAGTAAAATTGTAGTATCAATCATAGAATCCGCAGTTAGATGTTTTCTTCATAGTAAGGTTTCTCGTAAAAAAGAACACCATGTTATCATTTTTGGGATGGCATCGGAAAATTAGGTCAGTATATCTATAAATAAGACAACAAATGCAGAGATGTAGACATTGTGATCGCAGGACGCGACTGATGTACCTGAAGGGGATCTAGAAAGGCAAGGGAGATCTACCAAAATCTTGTAGATACCGTAGAAGCCAGGAATCCGGAACCAATCACAGCGAAACAGATTTTGAGCTGTCTTAGAGTCGCCCTATGCATTTATATGCTACATGCAGGCATCATGATAAAATGTGGGTATAGGTCTTCGTACAATGTTGATTTGATATGTTGATATCGCCCACATTGGTTTGTCCAAAATTAGGGTAGGTGAGCAACTCTCATGTTTGTTTTATCTTTTCCCCGAAAGGCAGCGCCTTAAACTTGCGTATTTCACGAGAAACCAATTCCAGTATTCAGGTTTCTGGATTGTGTTTGTTCTTCGACTATTTTTGTGAAAGCCCTCATTGTTGTTGAATAAAAAACACACAGGCACATATGTTTGATATTTGTATCCACATTGTGGGTCGAAGCACATAGACTCAAAATAATGATATATGTATGCGCGGATTGTTTAAACATATAGTGTTCCATGTGTTGTTAGACACGCATAAGTAGATGGATCATAGCCACACACTCGGATTTGAAGTTTCGTTTGCATTACGTGGATTTCCTCGTTTGCCATAGATCTTACAAAAAAAACGAACGTTTTGCAGAGGATCAGCACACGGCCAAGATGAATATAATATATCATACATAATAATGATAATAATAATAGTAATAATAATAGTAATGGTAATGGTAATAATGTAATATATACTTATATTATATTTATCACACAGAATACCCCTCCTGATAGCCCCAGGAAGACTTCGCCATTCTTCAGCGGTGGCTGCAAGGCGGTCATGGCCTGAATGATTCCTTGCGTCCTTGCGGCTGTGTAGCCATGAAAAAAAGGTATTAAAAGCATCAAACATGGAATAGATATGCTAAATCTTTTATACCTATGTTTGATGGCTGTAAATCTATTTATATAATAATGTATACTAAGGCACTAGCAGATAGAATATTATCCAGTGTTCAGAGATCGAAAAATTTGCGGGTGAAACCTGGTTCCCCGGTGGGAATATTCTATCTGTTTAAGCTGAGTAGCAAAAAGTTGATTTCGCGTATATATATATACGAAATCGTTGATATTTTGAGCTTATAAATTATGAAAATATATCTCTGAACTATTCTATCTGTTGGATCCGTGTATATATATATGGTTTTCTGCATTTTCAATGGTATATTTTATTCGATGAAGAATGAATATCAACAAAATCAACAATTTCATATCAATATGTTCATCAAAGAAGGAATCATCACTGGTATCATTGGTCTGTTGGAATATTCTATCTGTTGGTTTCATGTATATATATAGGTTTTCTGCACCCTCCATGAATTACTGATTACTGTATCCAACAAAGAATGAACTTTTAACGTTTCAATTAGTGAATTTGGGTGATCTCGTTGAACTTCACATTTTATCTATGAAACCACATAAGAATTGTTTCATCAAAAAGTGAATATCACTGGAATATTCTATCTGTTGGTTTCATGTATATATATAGGTTTTCTGCATCCTCCATGGATTACTGATTATTGTACCCAACAAAGAATGATTTTTTAACGTTTGAATTAGTGAATTTGGGTGATCTCGTTGAACTCCATATTTTATCTATGAAACCACATAAGAATTGTTTCATCAAAACGTGAATATCACTGGTATCATTGGTCTGTTGGAATATTCTATCTGTTGGTTTAATGTATATATATATGTGTGTGTTTTGAACCTATGGGATAATGTTGTGTTTTATGCATGTCATTGTGGATCACAGCATGCACGATGAGCGCAGTTCCAGCAACTTTACAAATTCGTTTCTGCATTGAACACCAAACCAAAGTTACATATATATATAGGAATACTAGATTCGATTGGTGCTGTTTCTGTTGGTGAAAACCAAACCACAAGAAGAAAACACATGCATTGAATAATATCGCAACGCACTTGCACGTGCACCCTGGGTAGCCATGGCAAGCCTTCATGGTTTGCAGGAGTTCTCAAAGCATTGCGCTGTATCATTGGAGTCAACCAAGAGAAAGTTGGAGTACTCTGATTATGGGGGCAAGACTCAAACCGTAGAAGCAGCCAAACACTTTCTGACACAGGGAAAGAAACTGATGCTTGGCTTCGACATGCTGGGTCGAAAACCCGTAGAGAGAAAGCAGTGGATCAAAGACAATTTTGGTGATGATGCAATTCAAATGCATAAATCACTGAGCGCTCAGAAAGGATTCCTATTAGCACAACTAGTTGGTCGACACGTTCCATGGTTTGAAGCTTCTATGATGCAGGTTGCAGTTCGAGCTATGCCTGATCTAGCAAAAAAGGAAGCACTCTCTTTGACCTATGATGATGATTTAGCGAAGTTCAAGGCTGTGCTAAGTGGTGACAATGAGAATGTGATCAAAGTGTTTGAGAAACTCAATGATGCTAGAAACTGGTTGCTTTGCTGAACATGGGCAAGAGTTCAGAGGCCAGCTGGTTGGGTTACAAAACACAATGATGGTTAATAGTTTCATTCAAGAATGTTGTTTTGTGAGGGGAATTCAACAGATAGAATATTACAAGCTACATATATGTATATATCAACAGTAAAGTGTTGCCAACACTTTTTATCACAGGAAGATGTTTGACGTATAGACGTGGAATTGAGATTAGTCTATTTTACCAACCGTTTAGACACATACAGTATACACTACCTGCCTTGCAGGCCGGTGTTCTAGCAAAATCCATGCAGACTGCAGAGAAAGCAGGCAAGTCATTTGTCAACACAGAGAAAGCTATCGACAGCATTTCAAAGGAGAGTGAGGCCACTTTCATGGAAGCTATGGAGAAACAGGTACTACCAGATGACTCAGAGATGAAACTCGTAGACGTGACCCACCAACTATTTGCAAAGCAACCTGAACCAAAATTTGTTCCAAGCAGCATTTGCATCTACAAGGGTATCATTGCGAATCTCATCTCATGGGGCCGTAACGATCATGGTGTTAAGCTTTGTGGCATCATGGCCGGTGATGGGAAGTCTGTACTGGATGTTGTTGTATGCACTGACTTTGACTCATGCATCTTATCAGATTCGCTGAAACAGAGATGGGCCAACTTCGATATCCAACCAATGGGGCTTGTGGTTTGGGTCACCGACTATGATTCTCCTATCGACCAGTTTGGAAAAAGAATGCAAGCTTTGAAATCACCTTTCAAGACACTGGTTCTCGTCACTATGTGTGGTGGACTTGATCCTATGGTATGGGATGTATCGATATCAGAAGAAGATGAGATCGAATACACTAGGCGCAGTGGACCAAAAGAACAATCAGGAAGGAAAAAAGATGAAAAATATCGGGTAGTGGACTTCCAAGCCTTGTCAAAAACTATTGCATGCACAATGGATGACCGTGTCAGCATATCTCCAAAGTTCTGTAAAAGAAAAGCTTGGACACAAGATGAAGAAAATGAAATGCTCTGAAAAAACCAGCCTAGAACAGCAATGTGCACCTGCTGATGGCTATTGCTTGTGGCACAGTGTTTTAGGATCACTGGACTTTGAAGCGTGGAGTACTGTTCCACGGAAGGAAAGTGGTTACGCAGCAAACGCAAGGATTGTCAAAAATGAAGAAGACAAAGCACGTGCTTTGATGAACATGACTATGGAAAAAGCATGTGAACAAGGGGTTGACATTGACAAGGTTGAGGAGATACGCAAACACGGTTCCGTTGACATTGCTGACCTGGACTGGGTTGCGAATGCACTGATGATGAACATCCGGTGCACTATTTCTGATGAGGCACATCTATGAATCTATGTGGATCCGGTGGGTGGGCAGCGGCTTTTCCTTTAAATAAATACATATATATATATTATAAAAACTTTGTTTACAGGAGTCCAAAATTCAACAGATAGAATATTCCCCAAGGTAGGCGATACCAACATATATACATATAATATTAAACCATACAGTCATATACCGTAAAACTTTAGGTGTTTTCTATACGTTCAACAAGCATATATATATATATACACAAAGAAAACATAACGCTTTATGATTTGGATTTGTTATGGTTCTGATGGACATATATATATATATAGTGTTCAAACTTGCTTTCATCTATTGGCAACATTTGGGAAATAAGCAAAACCAACAGATATAATATTTCTGTGTACGATATGGCACCCAGGTGAAACCCTACATTCCGATGACCATATGGGCTCAAATATCCAAACACAAAGAGTGTTGATAGAGGTGCAAAACCTTTTGCAACTTGGTATTTAAAGAATAGAGTGCTCTTGGTGCAATGGCAAACAGCTCTCTTGCTACTCATGGAGAGGGACCTGATGATTATTCAATGTTTGCATGGTTCATATCAGCAATGGTTCTTGCTGCAAGTATCTCGGTGAACATCGTGTGGAAGCTGTTGATGACATGCTATCATCGATTTGTGATCCAACATGGAGATGCTAACCATGTGCACAATCAACGTGGAAGTGGATATATGGTGGCCAACCATGTGCACAATGAACGTGGAAGTGAATATATGGTGGAAAAAAATCATGCATCGACGCAAACTACTGAACCCTATGGTAGCAACCATGGTGTTGGAACAGTATATGTGACGAAATGTGGTGAACGCTGGCATAATGCACGCTGTGGACATATTATTGGTCGACCAACAAAAATGTTGACCCCATGCAGCGATTGCACAGCAGGTTAAATCCACCATGCTGAGGCTGACATGCTACTAAGTTTTGAGATGAAGATTGGGCTACCGATTTGCCACAAAACATGTATATGTGTACCAGTGTGCCAATACTTACAAGTAACCAATCATGTACACATATATATATATATCAAATTGTGCATTAGTTTGTTACATCAGTTTTTTTTTCGGCAAACACTGGGACCAGCGCAGTGGCACATGCTAGCAACCGCGATGAGAAGTGCGTTATGAGAAAATGGTGCAGGTGGTGCTGTTTTTCTTGGGTGGCGAGCATGTATACATATATATATATGTGTGTTCAGCTGCATGCCAGCATTGCTGGGAAGCAAGCAACATATATATATATATAAATTTACTAGTCAGCTGCATGCCAGCATTGCTGGCGAGCAGGACATATATATATATACACACATATTTATATATTTAAGTATGGTTGTACAAATATATATATATGTAGTGAAACAAACTGATGTTTGAATTTGAACAGTTTGTATGTGGGCTATGGCAATTATCAACAGATAGAATGTTGCATTCACTCGTATACCTTAAAAGTCTATATATACATACATGCACATGTTTCCACTTGATAACCATGGGAGGCATATGAAACGTATGCTGCTTCAATGCCAACACCTCCTGAGAAGGACTCCATCTATGGCATTAGCAAAAACACCAGTGAGTACAAGGTCCACTTGATCTTCCTCTACCAAGCAAATCCAGAGACTGGCATTCCCTATGGTCACTTTAACTTCCTTGTGCCGGCTGAGAAAGAAGTAGCACAAGCAGAAGCAGTGAAACCTGCTGGTTCCTCAAGCAGCTTGACAGAGAAAAACAAAGGAAAAAAAATCAAAAAGATTGTGATCGTCGACAAAATGCCTCAAGAGAGGCATACCACACGAGAGAATATCAACGCATTCTTCGCAACATGGTCGGGTTCAAGCAAGCCATTACCACCACTTCCACCACCCAGTGATACACCAAGTGAAAATGAATCCCAGCAACATCCAACCAGTGATCTTCAACGAGGTGATCAGCCAGAACATCAAGGAGGCCAACCAGTTGCAGAGCAAGCTCAGCATCCAACCAGTGATCTTCAACGAGGTGATCAGCCAGAACATCAAGGAGGTCAACCAGTTGCAGAGCAAGCTCAGCATCCAACCGGTGATCTTCAACAAGGTGATCAACCAGCACATCAAGGAGGTCAAACAGTTGCAGAGCAAGCTCAGCAGCATCCAGCCGGTGATCTTCAACGAGGTGATCAACCAGCACATCAAGGAGGTCAGCCAGTTGCAGAAGCAGTTGAGCAACATCCAGGGGGTGATCTTCAACGAGGTGATCAACCAGAACATCAAGGAGGTCAAACAGTTGCAGAGAAAGCTCAGCAGCCACCAGCCGGTGATCTTCAACGAGGTGATCAACCAGAACATCAAGGAGGTCAAACAGTTGCAGAGCAAGCTCAGCAGCATCCAGCCGGTGATCTTCAACGAGGTGATCAACCAGCACATCCAGGAGGTCAGCCAGTTGCAGAAGCAGTTGAGCAACATCCAGGGGGTGATCTTCAACGAGGTGATCAACCAGAACATCAAGGAGGTCAAACAGTTGCAGAGAAAGCTCAGCAGCATCCAACCGGTGATCTTCAACGAGGTGATCAACCAGCACATCAAGGAGGTCAGCCAGCTGCAGAAGCAGTTGAGCAGCATCCCACCGGTGATCTTCAACGAGGAGATCAACCAGAACATCAAGGAGGTCAAACAGTTGCAGAAGCAGTTGAGCAACATCCAGGGGGTGATCTTCAACAAGGTGCTCAACCAGCACATCAAGGAGGTCAAACAGTTGCAGAGAAAGCTCAGCAGCCACCAGCCGGTGATCTTCAACGAGGTGATCAACCAGAACATCAAGGAGGTCAAACAGTTGCAGAGCAAGCTCAGCAGCATCCAGCCGGTGATCTTCAACGAGGTGATCAACCAGAACATCAAGGAGGTCAAACAGTTGCAGAGCAAGCTCAGCATCCAACCGGTGATCTTCAACAAGGTGATCAACCAGCACATCAAGGAGGTCAAACAGTTGCAGAGCAAGCTCAGCATCCAACCGGTGATCTTCAACAAGGTGATCAACCAGCACATCAAGGAGGTCAAACAGTTGCAGAGCAAGCTCAGCATCCAACCGGTGATCTTCAACAAGAGGTGATCAATCCAGCACATCAAGGAGGTCAGCAGAGCAAGCTCAGCAGCCTCCAGCCGGTGATCTTCAACGAGGTGATCAACCAGCACATCAAGGAGGTCAGCCAGTTGCAGAAGCAGTTGAGCAACATCCAGGGGGTGATCTTCAACGAGGTGATCAACCAGAACATCAAGGAGGTCAAACAGTTGCAGAGAAAGCTCAGCAGCCACCAGCCGGTGATCTTCAACGAGGTGATCAACCAGAACATCAAGGAGGTCAAACAGTTGCAGAGCAAGCTCAGCAGCATCCAGCCAGTGATCTTCAACGAGGTGATCAACCAGAACATCAAGGAGGTCAAACAGTTGCAGAGAAAGCTCAGCAGCATCCAGCCGGTGATCTTCAACGAGGTGATCAACCAGAACATCAAGGAGGATTTTCATCTCAAGAGTCTGGGGATGATGATGAAGATGAAAACGGGAATGAGTACACAAAAGTGAAAGGCATTGTTGAAAGGATAAAAAATTTCAAGTCGCAGCATCCTCATTTTGAGTGGGATTGGGAATCAGGATCATCAGAGTCAGATGAAGATGACCGCTTACAATCTTCAGCGCAAAAATCAACATCAAACGATAACATCGATAGCAACAGTGTGAGTGAGTCAACCTCAGGCCTAGTGCGCTCTGACTGCATGGGTGCTAATGGTAGTACCAAAGGCAAAGATCATCTTGCAGAAGCAGCAGCAGCAGCAGGACCAGCACAACCACCACAACCAGCACAAGAACGTGATGATGGTGCACACATGGTTTCTGTTCTCAGGATGGCAGGGGTTGATGTTGAAAGAATTTATGCAAAGAAAACAAAACAGCAAGTTATCATGCAGTGGTCCAACAAAAAGCTCTTGGGGGAGGTGTACATCGCCAATGGCAACTCAGCAGCTGTGGTGGGGAAGGCTGAAGTGTATGGTCAAAAACGCATCTCAAACTTTGCAGAGCTAAGAGGGCTAGAGTGGTTCAAAAATGCATCCCGAGAACTGAGGCAAGCATGGAAAAACAGGTTGCTGAATGATGAGAAACCGTTGTTTGTATGGGATGTTGAGTGTGTACATCATTTCGACAATCCCTACAAGATACAAGGGCGAATGAATGCTCGCTCCTTTGACATCGATCTCAAACGACTGAAATCATGGAATGATGCGCAAAATTTACCTGGCTTGGATCTGAAAGAAACTGCTTTGTACTTTTTGCACCTACTATCAGAAGAAGATCTTGCACGGCTAGAAAAAACTATGCAGATACTGGATGGTTGTGAGATCAAGGTTGGCACAGCCTGCTCTGGAACCGACATCGCAGTCAGTGTCACCAAGGCAACATTTGCAGCTCTATCAGAGTACTTTGGAGTTCCTTATCTCAAACATGTGCTTTTTGCTACGTATACTATATATATATAGGTTTTGTATGTATATGCCAGCAAAGCTGGCAAGCAAGCTTTGCTTGCAACATACATGATATATATATATATATATTATATTTGAAATATGAACCAAATTCAACAGATAGAATATTGCTGCCAATCCATGCCAATCCCAGGTAAATGTCAAGGTGCGTCACGTACTATCTATCGAGATTGAGGATTTCAAAAGGGAATTCATCAAATCTGCACACACACAGTTCCTGGAGAACAGCCAGAGTTTTGCTTGTTTGACGATGTTGAAGTTCTAGAAAAATTGGTTGGCTTTTGCTACACCTGCAACAAGAAACACAATGTTGCTCTGGACATTGATGCTTACTTCGTTGGACCCTCGTGCAAAAACATCAGCTATGAGAACACAAACTCAGCCAAGTGGGCCAATTGCTACACTGACCATGATGGGTCTTCTGGTTCAACATATCGCTTGGGTGTCAAGAGAGGTATCGAGGTGACGTGTCCAGCAGTTGCGTTTTACGAGAACACAAAGGGGGTGGCAGATTGTGTCAAGGATCTCCATGGTGTTAAGCATCGTCCACGGATAGAGGCACAGTTTGAGAAACATGTGAATACTCATATATATATATATAAAGTGTTTTTTTGTGTGAACACATTTGTTTCAAATGATATGTTTTTTTGTTTGTTTTTTTGTATTGCTTTTAAATAGCAAATTCAGCAGGATTCCAACAGATAGAATATTATCTAAAACCATGAGCCAGGTAGTTTCTGAAGATCTAGAAGATCTGGGGTACATTTTTGCATGGAAAAAATTGGATGCGCAGTCCTTTCTACTACGTCAACGGCGACAACGGATATGGGGTGTTGCTGATCTGATGAGTAGCTGCAGCCAACAAGACTTTCAGAACCGCATGAACAAAACCATTGAAAGCATGTCTACCACAGAACTCTTGGAGTTTGAGAAAGTCTTCGACACGAATATGCCTAAACAGAGAATATCAAATCATCTTCAGAGAAAAAAGTTGGAGCAATCACTTGCCAGGGCTAGAGTGAAAAATGCAACTTCCACTGGGGACCCCAATATCTTCATGGATATGTCTACAGGCAGATCCCGAGATGCTGAATACGCTGAGGATGTAGCAACGTGTGTGAGGCCCAGTCACAACATTTATTCTCATCGCTTGGGGAGAAGCCTATGTGCAAAGGAACTTTGGAATTGTCAGGGACTATTTCAAACAGCATTCGACAACCCCGCAGCATTCGATGACATCATGAAGAACCAGGCCCAAGCACAGGATCTTGCAGGACAGGGTCTGATGAGATGTTTTTCAAACATTTATATATATATATATATATTGTAGTTACATATATGTGAATATATATATACAGACACTACCCGGATATATACATGCATGTACAGTATATGCCAATTGTTTGTTTGATTCCTTTCATTGATCAGGCAACTCCTTTGCAAGTACTACAGCGCAAGTCAACCTGATTGCATCACTGGTGAATGCAGCTGGGTGGACCACTCTATCCAAGAATGGGAAAGGTGATGAGGAGAACAAGGGAGTGAAAAGGAATTTCCATGATGTATCATCTAAGGACGAGCTACAGTTGGACCGACATCCCAAGAAGCAGAAACCAAACAGTGACAGCAGTGGCAACAGCAAAAAGCGACCAGCTGACACAAAGCATGACACCATGGCACCGGCACCAGTTCTTAGACGCTGCAGGTTCAAGCAACCAGATCCACATGCTGATGTAGTGTGCCAACTCGTTCAAGCAAGCCAACCACAAAAACGCAGGGGACGTCCAAACGGCCCTGCAAAGAATTACAGTGGTTCAAATCGTTCTCAAAAGTTAAAGGATAAAGATGCAAATGGTGAATCACATGGTGATGAAATGCCAGATGGTAGTGGACACGTTGACAGAGATGGAAAATGTTCATCATTGTCCATTTGGAGGAAGATGCAAATCATCAAAGAGTATGAACGACTGAAAGCATTGAAGACGATCAAAAACATCGAATCATTCATGCTCAAAAACGGAAAGATGAAAGGAGGATACCAAGGTTGCTTATCACGCTCAAAGTGGCTGGGGGCAAGGGAAAAATACAAATGGGATGATTTTATTGCGCACTGTCCTGAGCTTTCCAAAAAAGTATATGAAGTTCCCAATGTGTTGCTGGAAGTTTTGGGTGTGGCAGCACCTTGTCAAACATTTGAGAAAACTAATGTTTTTGTTGCAATATGTTTTCATAGATGGTTGCAGTTTCAACAGATAGAATATTGCACACAATCTCTGGTTTAAGAACTTGATATATATACACATACATATACATATACATATATATTTCTTCCTTTAACAATGCCCACTTGCAGTTGTGTGTTTCAAGCACGCCTCAGGCAGGGAAGTACAACCATGGGAAGTTTGCGGCTGACGGCACTACTCATTCTATCCCGACTCCTCTAGCACACGCTTTTGAGCAACTGATGCTTGGAAGACAAATGCTAGGAGAAGAACATGACAGCATTTTCGCTAGAAATACTTTGGAAAGTATGATTGAAATTTGGAACACCAACATCAAGCAGCTTCGAAAAGATTTCACAGCAGCTATGGGAGGCAAAGCTCTAAGCAGTCTAGACAAAAAAGTGGAGAACAAAGTGATGGAGCACGAGATCGCATGTCATCGGACACCCTGGAAGCAATGAAAGATACACTGGATGAAATGAAGACAATTGTGATCGCTCAGACTCCAGGTGCTTTGAAGTTTCTTGGTGCTATTTATATATGAAGAATGATTTTGGCTAATGACTAATGGTATGAACCACTTACGGTGTGTGCCAGCATTGCTGGCAAGCAAGCTTTTTCATATATAACACATTACAAGTTACTACACACTTGTGTGCCAGCATTGCTGGCAAGCAAGCTTTGTTTAACATATTATAAGTTACTATATGCATGTTTTCTTTTTTCCATAAACATATTGGTTGTAAATCTATATATATATATATACCCTTAAATATGAATGATCAGCTATGTTAGATTTAATGGAAAAACCATCACCCAATCAACAGATAGAATAATAGTGCTAGGTGCAACACATGTGCGCAACACCATGTATGTATATGTATGTATGTATGTATGTATGTATGTATGTATGTATGTATGTATGTATGTATGTATGTATGTATGTATTGCTGTCAACTAAGGATGCAATGTAGTCGTCTTTGCAGTCGTGTTGGGTTGAAGAGCCACACCAACGCTGCTCCAGCTCGTCATTTGGACAGTGAACACCCGCAAGTTCAAGCTGTAAAAGCATTTGTGGAACGCTGTGGGGAGACCCATGGCATCCACAAAAGACTTATATGCAACTTTGATCAAGTATGGACGACTCACTACGAACACTCAAAACGAGTTCTCTATAAACCGGTGGAGCATTCCGGGGTGCACAAGGAGCAGCAAAAACCATCGATGCAAAAAATGATGAAAAGCATTCGACAAGCTTTGAGCATTGAAGACGAGAATCAGCAAAACTCAGTGGAGGAAGCAGAGTACATCCCCAAGAATGTTATTTTGAATGCACAAGCAAATGTGACACCTGTCGAAAATTGGAGATTTCCAAGGACGACAACCACGTTGAGCTGGTCGGATGGTGAACTAGCATCAGCATGGATAACTGTGAAGGAAGGATCAGCACCTGATGATGTGATACAAAGATTAAACAAAGAAATGTCTGGACTTCTTCACATACATGCCCAAGACAGCAAAAGCCACATGTGGAACTCAACAACCATGTTGCATTTCCTAGAGTGGTTGAGTGTGCAGCTACGCTTGAAGAGAATAAAACACAACCTGACGACAAAGGATCGTGCATTAGTGTTCTGCGACAAAGCTGCTGTTCATGCGTGTCATGCATTCTATGAGCTTCGACGTCAATGGGAACATGACAACTGTGCAATTATTTGCCATGGATCATCTT